GCTCTTACCAACATTCATTACACTAGATTTAAACCAAAATTAAATATACCTTCTCTAAAATTATCTAGGAAAAATGTATTGGAATATAGTTACTATTTCAAGTTTAGTCCTCTCTCTGAGATGTTTTCTAAAGCAAGTACTGTTTCAACTTGGTGTTTCAGCACCAGGCAAAATTTATTTGAAAGCACATTTTTGAAAAGAGGGTATCTTTCATACAATACTTCCAGGTAGCACAATATTTTTCCACCTGTCTAGTTCTTCTCAAAAGTATTTACAATACATGTGTAATGAGAATAACATCAGGAGGTAAAGAAGAAAAGGATAACCTTCTTTAGAGCATCTGTCAGCTCCGAAGGAACAGCAGAACTTGTTTGAACCATTGGGTAGGTACCAGCCCACACTGGGTTTGTTCCCTAGTGCAGGTGGTTTCTATGCAAGAAGGGTATCCAGTGTTTGTCCAAAACTATTGTCTTGTGATAAGAATTCAAAAAACTGTAGAGGACTTCCTGGAAGAGCAAATTAATAACAATGTGCTCAGAGGTTTACCAAAAAACAAACCACATCCATTAGAAAGGTGCAGGGAAATAATATTTTTTGCAGCACCACAGCAAGGAATCACTTCAGCCCAAAGGTTATATCAAACAGTTCTTCTGCATAATGTTGCACTCACAGTATGAAGTTGTTATAGTCATGAGAAAATTCTGGCTGATTAAAGTAGGTATTTGTTTCAGCAGTAGAGCTAGAAGAACACTTTGATCGATCAAGGTAGTTAAAGTGGGTAGATGATTATGTAGTTAGAATAGGTATTTGTTTAAACTATAAAGTTAAGAAAAAGATTGCAAGATATATTTGTATAAGTACTTAGAGAAGACACATACCATGCTCAAGAGAAGAATTAGACAATAGCATGAGGAATAACAGCTGTGGTCAGACCACCATAAGAATAGGCCATAACTATTCTTTTTTTCTGTATGTCAAAATTATAGGGGTAATCCAATGTCTTACGTGGCGTGATAGTGGGGAACCAATCAAGGTGAGGGGCAGAGTAAAAGGTGATCATCTTATGCATGTTTGTATGATTTAGCTTTGTTAAAAATGTATAAATAGGCTGTGAAAACGTATGGGCGTTGGAGCATAATTAGAGGAGCAACCCTCTGTGTCTCCCCAGTGCTGTGAATAAAGAAGTGCCTGCTTATCCGCAACTCTGTAGATAAGGTTTTCTCGTCATGATTGCAACCCCTTCAACAAAGTCACTAAGATTTCCAGAATAATTTTAGATGTCTGTAGGTACAATTTTGTCAGGATGCTATGGAAACAGTTACATGCATCAGAGAAATCAGTCAGTGCTGACCGACTTCTCCTCCCTATCTCCTTTGCCAGAAAAATTGAGATACTAATTAAAGACTTTTGATCTCAAATATATTAATTTATTTTTTTATTGTCTTACAGAAAGGGTACCTCCATTAAGCTTAAGCCACAGGTAAAGAAATGCATTTGAACAGATGTCACTGGATTTGTAGGCAAACGATCAGGACTCAAGACTCCCTTTAGTGACTGCAGTGAGGATTTTTACTAGCTCGTTCACCAATAGACACATAAAAAATGCTGCAACAGGCACCCAGTGGAAGGCACTGAGTGTGGTTATGACAGTAAATAGGAACAGAATTCACACAACTATTTATTCTCTGAGTAATGTGCCCCTGTCCATACCACAGCTTTGCTGGTTAGTCCTCCCCAAACATAGCAGCAATTTCTATCAAATCTTCCAGTTTTTTGTACATGGCACTTGGCATTTTCCCAGGGAAATACTGAACAAAATGATTGATAGGGGAGGTGACAGTACAGGGATCAGGAGAAAAAATTACCTTAATATATAAGGTGGGTTTTTTACAAAACTTCATTTTATATTGCTAGTTGACCATTCTTAGTCATGGAACAGAGTCATAGTTCTTTGATGTTTTTTTTTAATTTCCTTTTTCTTGTGATGAAAATCTGAACTCAGTTAGTATCCATAACAAGCCTTGGGCATCGCTAATGGTGAAGGCTTGGTACCAGAGTGGTTTGGGAAATGTTAAGTATTTCAGATTTCAAGCTATGCGGAGTTTTTTCTCACTCTCTTTTTTTAGTTTTTCTTTTTTTTTTCCCTTTGGCAAAAAGTTATTTTTTATTTGTTTGTAGCTCTAGTCTCTGTTCCAGTATCTACTGATGACATTTGGCTAAGTTTGAGCTGCCATTCCCACTCCGTATGCTAGTTTATTGAATTCAGTAAAACTGGCATTTAAAATCTGCTTCAGTGTAAAATAATTAAGCTCAAGAATTTCTGCCTGTTAGTTGTTTTATACAGAGATTTTTTTTCCAATTGACCAAAATCACAGAAGAGACATAACATTTGTTTTAAATTTCAGATTTTCTTTAGTTGTGGCAACAAACTAATACTTATTTTTAAAACTTTTTAGAAGTTAACAGATTAATTAAGAGCAATATGCAGGATGCATTTTGGGGATCAGAGAGGGAAAGCATTTGTGTTTTGCTGTTCAGCTGAGGAGAAGATTCAAGTTTAGCATCACAGGTGAAGGGCAAAGTGAGAGAGGAAGTTATCTTAAATTGCTTCCTTGTAGGCACTTCATATAATAGTCCAAAATACCATTTTATATTGAAACTGAAGAACTAAACACGTTTATCTTAAACAAAATAAACCGATTTTTAAAAAATGAACCCTCATTTGAATGCCATTGTGAGATGTATGTGAAGGTGATAATTTTTCTAAACAATAAATACTTATTCAGTACAGCTTCAATGCTTTAACACAGGTTTTATGCTCTGGAAATCTGGAAAGCAGAGCTCCCTAATCACAGTGCAGACATACCAGAAGTAGTTTTCTCCAATACCTCAGTAATTTGCCCTAAGAGCCATTTTTAACTCTGTCTCATTCTCATTTTTTCTATTTGGATACCAATGGGATAAACACAGTGGTATCCTAGGAATGGCACTGACATCTCTAATTCCTTTGCTGTGTTTTCTATTGAACTTCTATTCAGAGGGAAATGTCTAAGTCACTACTAATCCAGCTTAATTGCAAGTGATTCCTAGAGGTTATTAGGGATTCATCATCTTTTCAGCCAAGCAGCTTTTCCAGCAGCTGAAAGTTCAGCTGAAATAAAATTTTTTCATGTTTCCTAAATGATGAGGAAAGTATCGTCTGACAATTACTTTTAGTGAGCTGGACACTAAGAGAAGTGTTCAGTAGCAGAAATATTTTTCCTAATTCTTTCAGTTTCTGGATGAAATCCTCTTCTTTCAGTTCTTGTAGGATATAGCATGTCTTACTGGAACACACGGTATCTACCACTTCAGCAACCTTCAGTTTCACTATGGGTTTTGAATTGTGTGTAACAAAGAATTGAATGTAGAATAAATACAAATGAAACGGTCCTGCTGAAAACTGATAGTACTCCACCATGGTTAAATAGACCTAGACTTTCATTAAAAAACTAATCTGTTTTGGAGACTTTATATGAAAATTTTCCCATGGAGTTCTCTTCTCCCTCGACCCTTCTTCAAGCACAGATGCACCTTTTACCTGATATTTTCTTTTTTTACAGTACCTATTACTTTACACCTGTAACACCCAGAAGAGTGCAATTAACTGCTGATGGTGTAGGAGGGTGCCAGTGGTCTGGCTTGAAGAACCAAGGCTGAAGGTGGCCCTTAGCTACCCTTTAGGATAACAAAGAGATGGGCCTCCATAGAGATGATAACAACACTTGGACTACAGTAGGAAGGAAAGCTCAGTCTATTTCCTTTTTAAAGGTCATGAATGCTAGTGAAACATTTACTTTAAAACAACAGCCCAAGCAGGACAGAATGAGGGTTATGGAAGCTCATACTTTTTTGATAGTTCTAATTTTGAGTGTTCTACATAGCTCTGGTTTTTTGTTTTAAAATAATACTACCATACAGCTCAAAACACCTCTGTATCCACTTCACTCTATAGTGTTTAGTGATTGTGCTTTATAGGTGGAAACATTATGGTAAAAGTGTTCTTCCAAGGACTCCACACTCTATTCAATATTACTCTTTTACTATCAGATTTTTCCTTAGATTTGTATTATTTATTTGTTCTTTTATAATTTCTGCCTGGTGGGAAAAAAAATCCTAAAACTGTGTTACTGTTATTTGTTAATTTTCCAGAGCAAAAACTATTTAATAAATAGGATTCCTTTGGTGCCAAAAATGTGCTATTTTAATTTGCAGGGGCAGATATGGAAGTAGACAGGAAACAAGGATGGAGTGATAGGACTTCTATAAACAATGATTAAAGAGACTTCACATACTTTATAAAGACAGGGACATATCCTTGGTTCCAGCCTTTGACATTAGAGCTCCTTATCCGCTTAAGAAGAGGAACAAATTTGACTTATTGGCATCACCTCATAACAGTCAAATCCCAAATCCTGCTCTCAGCTACACCACAGATTTCCCATAATGATTTCAGTACAACATAGATGATGCCAGTGAGAGAATTAGGACAGTTACTTAGGATGAATTACTGCTGTAGTTTAATTGAGTAATTAACTGAGCTAGCCAACCCATCCTTAGTTCCACTAACCAGTGAGGTCAGGATCAAATTGCATTTCCACCCAGTGTGCTGGCATGATCTAAGCTTCGTGCATTTGAAGCTCTGCTACTGTATGTGCTCCCAGTGTCACCATCATAGCCAATCTGATCTTGCCAGCCCTAAACTCTGGGCAGGGTCTGGAAACTCATTATACCTATGCCCAAATGCTCTTGGGAATCCAGTCGTGTAATATAATATTTACATTAAACTGAATATACACCAATGACATTAAATTCAGTGCAAATGATAACAGCCACGAGGTGGGAAACTTTGATTCATTTCTCTCCTCCACTCTGAGGAGATTGGACCCATATCTGTTGTCTCTGAAGGGTGTGCCCTAATTAGAGCCTGTGAGGGTAACCCTACTATCGTTTGACTAGAGCTGGGCCATTATGCTGACAAAAATGCAAGTGCCAAGGGACAGTGAGCAGAGAAAATGCTGGGCTAGTCAGGAGCAAGACTCCATCACCTCTAGAGACAGGTCTGTGCTCCCCTTCAGGTGTTTCTTCTCCAGGTTTATTGAAAATTGAAGGCACTTCGCCCTCCTGAGTGATTGAATTTATGGCTTGGCTATGGTGTCAGACTCCTTTCAGTTCATTCTCCCTTGAGATCCCTTCTCTGCAGTGCCAAAGCTCCAGAAGAAGGATCTAAGGGTCCAGTATGGGTGAGTGTGATTTGTTGAGATACATCCTCAGCCTAAACTCAGACTTCTACTATTTTCCTGGACAACAGCTCTCAACGCTCAGCCTTGAGTTTTTGCCTTCTTTTCGAAACTGTCAAAACTAGTCTGGGGCACTGAAGACAATTTCTTAGCTTTCCTGTTTTGGTGAAAAAAAGAAAAAAGAAAGGTATTTTACATCTAAAAACCTTAACCAATAAAGACTATGCAGCTAAAGGTTTATCAGCAAAAAAAGGTCCAGCTTTACAGTGACAAAATAACAGTTTCTAAAGATTGGAGAAATTGAAGCAAGACAGAGTCTGTTGTTCAGGGAATTGGTGGGGAGATGGAAAGTGGGGCATGAGTGAAATAACCTACAGTATGCATTGGCTTCAGGAGACTTTAAGGAAAAGAAACAGAAGTGTGTCAGGGGAAGGTATGTAGAGAATAGTGTAGGTGGGCATCTCTCCTCTCGCACAGTGCAGCTTTCACTGCCCTGGCTCCTCTCTAAATCTCTGGAGGTACATGATACTCCATCAAAGCACTCAGAGTATTTCACTTCCCCAGTACACAGCAGCTTTCTCCGTATGCCCCTCAGCCCACAAAAAACAGTTGTCTTTGGATTTTTATATTAAGTAACTTTTATCCACATCCATCCTTCATGAAATAAGGAAAAAAGTCATAATGCAACATCTTTGGATCAAGAAAGCGCTGAGCCACAGCCAGCTGGAGGCCTGAAGACCATGCTGGAAAGTTGTCATGATAGTCTTATTTCCTGTATTCTTTACAAGACCAACATCTTGGGTTAGCTACCCTGCTAGCCTGAAATGGTATAGCTGGCTTTACATTCTCCTGTACCTCACCAGCAGCTCTGCTTCAGGCTACATTCAGCAGGTTTCTGTGGAGGGAAAGAGAAAGGCAAGAGGTTGGGTCAGAGTCCACCCTGCTGTGAGCAGAAACGGAGCAGGACTGCACTACGGACCCAGAAGTAGACAACTGCCAGCAAACTACTACTCCCTCTCCTCTTCCTTCCCACCCCAAAGCAGTCTTGAATTCCCTGCTGGTACCAGGGAATCAGACAGGTGGAGATGCTCAGCTGAGGTCACACAGTCTTTGTCCCCTTACACACTTTAGACGAGATAATTTGCTGTGTCTTGCAGGTTCCCACCATGCATAGCTGTGGTTTGGGGTGATGTTACAGAAACAGCTAAATACTTCAGAGCCTGTCAACTTAACATCTATTTTGTTATCCAGGTTATGTGTGTGTTGCTGACCATTTTAGCAGGTAGAATAGAGAAGCAGAGAGAGAGTGAACCACAGATGGTATAGAGAAGTGAAGAGGGAGGAAAAAATAAGAGAAGAACTAAGAAAACTCACAAAGAGGAAGAAAAAAGAAAAAAAAGGAGAAAGGAGGATAAAAAAAGAAATAAATAGCCAAAACAGCAGCAAGCCTGAACTGTACTCAAAAGGCACTTCATATGTGCGTTGAAGTTTGTTGGAAGCCTTTCCGTAAGCCTTAGTGAGCCTTGATTATGCCCTAGGAAACGTTGCCAAGGTTATCAGTTTTCCTTTACCCAGCATTTGCTGAGGAAAAAAACAAACACCAAACAATACACATTTGTTGACGGAAAGAAGAAGTTTTATCCTGAAGCCTGATATGAGCAGATGAAGGTAATTTCCCAGGGAGAAGTGAAAAGACACCAAGCTCCTCAGCACTATCATGCTAATGTAGGAAGAAAAAACCTGATTTGGTCCACTTCTTGTTTTCAGTCGTTCCAGATAATTTTTGTGAACAATTGTTTACTTGTTTCCAAATCCAATTCTATTAATGATGGTAATCCAAAAAGGGAAGAGAAATATTTATGGCAATATCTTTATCTTGATAGTGTTCTCCATTTAAGCAGACATCTCTCTCTCATAAAAGGCATGAAACAAGAAACCTTATCTCAGAAGACAATTAAGCTGATGTTTAAGTTATAGACTTAATGTGACACCAGGTCTACATGCATGTGTGATAGAGAAAACAAGTGTTTGTAGAAGTGGTATTGGAAAATCTTTGGCTGAACTCCAAAATGTCTATTATTCCCAGCTCAGGCCTGTTTTTTTAAGGGTGCTTCAAAATTTGTGTCTCCTTAATCAGTATCTGCAAATCATTGATTTTAGACACTTTCCCTAAACCCATGTTTATTTTTGCAAGGTAGTCCAAATTTCTGTCTTCTCTCAGCTCCACTAGCTAGCAGAAAAAGTGCTCTCTTCATTTAAAATGTAAGTAACTTTTTAGGTTATCTGCAAATAATATAGCATAATGACTTCAAGGCTGGTTTGGATCTATTAACATGCATTTAGTTTATTTATAACATGTACTCATTTATATACCCACCTTGAGTATATTAATATACACTCAGTAAATGTTAGAGTTCATTTCTCAAATTTCTGTGTTTGAAATATGGATATTTATGCCTGGAGAACAGGGACAGAAAGCATACCTTGCATGGACTTCTCTAAGGAATAAGAAAGGCTTGACATAGATTTTAGAGAAGTTCTGATATGGCTTTGAACATGCTGTTTTACCTTCTGCTCTCCTCTAATGACTATGGACTATAGTCACTCAAGCCTAGAGTAAATAAAATGTCTTAATTTGAAAAAAAGATACAAATAATCCAGTATTGAAAAACAATGGCAGCTTAAGCCAACGTCTAGTGAATCTAGTATTGAAATAACTTTAAATCTTTTGAAAATATCTAGAACTTAGACTTCATTCACCAAGGCAGCACCTAAAAAAAATTGATTATATAAATGACAAGCAGATGCGCAGATTTTACAGAAATAGAACATTATTACTACCTAGTCCAAATTCTTACTCAAGACAGGCCATAAAATCAGCAAAACAGATAAGATACACTTGAAAATTACAGGTTAAAAACATCCACATAGTTGTTTTACAACTCTCCAAAATTATGAAATTCCCAATACAAAAGGGAATGGGGAACAGTAACTTCATTGCATGCCTTCACTCACACATTGGAGGCAGCAGAAAAGAAGTGGAGGAGAAAGAAACAAGGGATTTATGGAGGGTTAATGCTACTGTTGAAGGAAATTAGCATGGAAAATTGTAAGGAGGGATCAGACGTGTACTAACTGGAAATATCTGGTTACCAGTAATAGATACTGGTTTGTGCAGGTATTCCTGCCATTTTCAGTCTGACAAATAAATCAAAGCAGTATTGATTTGATAGGGAACTCTGCTTCACTGCTGAAATGAGATTAATTCGTCATAGTAAAGCCCCCTTGATCAGTTCCTGAGACTGATGGATGTTTTGCATAAATAGCAAAAGAGTGAAAACTGAGTAAATAATTTGGTGCTTAGTCCAACAGCTGTATGACTGAATATACTTAAAACCAAAACCTATTTGGAAATGTGAACTGAACAAAGAAGATCCCATGAAACCTATTAAGATAACCATAACTGTCTCTATAATAAAAGTTTATAAAACTCAGCAACTCAAAAAAAAACCCCAAAGCAAATGGTTGTTCAATAAAATGGAAGCTCTTCAACTGCTTGACTTTAGCCCAAGAAATATAATAGTATGTAATTTGTCACTGATCCTCACCAAATCCAACACAGAAACAGCTGTTAGATTTTGTTCTTTCCATAGAGATGCCAATATTTCAGACCCGAAGAGCAGAGCAGAAATGCACTCTTACAGGACACAGTTTCTAGCGTAATACATGTTGAACTAAACATGGAATTTCTCTTCCAACTAAGAGAAGCTGTTCAATTTATTCAGCCATCTTTAGACTTCCTATACTTACCTCTGTTTCATAGTCTTCTGAAATAGCACAACGAAGTGCAAACCTCCTATTAAAATATCCCGTTTCCCTTTGTTAGAGGATACATACCACTTTCACTCATCTTGGTCTCATTTCTGGTTTTACCATTGTATTGCTCAAGGGCTAAATCAGAACTGCAGTAGTCAGTGTCTAAGCTTGAGAAACTTCAAAACCTCACATGTCAATGGCTGGGCTTACTATTAGTCTATAAACATACTTTCATACAGGACGCATAATCTTGGTTCTACTGTAGTCTACAGAAAATTTGCTGTCAACTTCAGTAAAGAATATTAACTGGAGAATGCAACAATGTGTATGCTTGTAGAGCAAATAGCATGATTTATGTACTTTTAAAAATCCTTTGTAGAAATATGATGAGTGGAAATGAGAAAGTAAATGGTGATTCATATGCTGTTTCAAACTTTCTTCCTCTTCCATGGAAGTTAACAATACTACTAGTGGCTGCATAGGTATTCTATTTTAGAAATACCTCAAAAACTCTCTGAACTTACTCTAGTTTTTCTTTTTTCTTTTTCTTTTTTTTAATTATTTTTTTTCTCTTTCTTCTTTCTTTCTTTCTTTTTTTCTTTCTCTTTATTTTCAGGGCAGGGAGTGAGCTTATTTGTTGTTCTATTTTTCAAAAGAATTTATTTTCAAATATACTTATCTACATAAAGAAAGAAATGGTGAGGATGCCTGTCTGTTCTAAAGAAATTAACTTTTTAATAAACTTTGGAGTGTTAAGTTTAGGTGTTTTGGGTTTTTTGTTTGCTTGTTTTGTTTTGTTTTGGATTTTTTAAATGTTTACGTGCCAATACAATATGGAAACCTCTATCTCAGTGAACTTTCCAGACAAAATTTTCAAAACCAAGGAGCTGAAATACTACCGATAAAAGCTAGAATTTTTAATATCTATCCTGGTTTAAACTAACCTCAATGTTTAGAATCACACACTGATGTGTGATAGCATTACGTTTTAAATAGGAAGGGTGGAGGAAAGAAAGGAGTTTTAAAGTGCTTATACAGGAAACTCAAAAGATCCTTAAGAGATAGTTGAAATAAAAATTCTTCAATTCACCTTCCCCACCTCCCTTTATTTATTGTTGAGTATGAGCTAATCCAGAGACAGATAAAACAAAATTATTGGGAAACTGTGCTATTAAAAGCTTTGAAGTTTCTGCTGAATTTATTTAAAGAAGAAGGGTCTGTTTAACTATTTCTTGCATGATGGTCAAATCTGCAGTCTCTTCTATGGTTTCATCAGGACTAACATTTTTATGGAATTTAACTCTGGTCAACATAAAGATCATTCCTCCATTCAGATTAGCATAGGTTAGTAGCATACTTCTGACATGAAAAGAGATGAGACACTACATTTGATCTTTCCTAAATTAATTTCTACATCATGGGATTTGCCAGATTGAAAGGGGGAAAAAGCAGCAAAATGATCCATATTTAGACTGCAAATCTGTACTTTCCCTCCAGTTTTAGGAGTTCTTCTGTTAGATTGTATTGCCTCTCTCTGCTTATGCTGGTCACTGACTATTTGAACACTTTGCCTTGTAGGCTTGGGCCCATAATATGTGTAGCCATGGACAGTGGAATAAATTCATACGCTCAGTGAAAGCAGCTAAAGGTCAGTAGTACAAGGAAATTATTTCTTTGTAGCAATTGCAAGCAGTTCTACAGTCTCTGCCTTAACTCTATGTTCCAGAAAGATTGAAATCTTGCTTAAAACAGGCTGTGGAAGAAGGGAGTAACCAGCAGGCAAAAGACAAGAAAGCAAACAGACAAAAACTCCCTGTCACTTCTGTGTACCTTTGGCAGCATTTCAATAGTCTAACAAAAGCAGTAAATAACATAGCTGGGTTCTCAATTGCTATGGGTTTTTTGAAGCATTTTATATCCATATTGCTGGGAAAGAACCAGATACACAAGGTGAAAGATATTTGAGGAACAGGCCTGTGCTTTGAAGGGAAGACTTTGATCTTCAGGCATGTTTTATGTCCAAACTGTCTGAGTTGAACTTTGCTTAAAATTCATTTGGAAAAAAACCCCTACCTTTTTACATTTTGGAAAGAAGTATAGCAGTTTTCGGTCTTCAGAGGATTCCCTTCCACTTCTCCTTTTTTTAATAAGTCAAGCCTTTGTGCCCAAAGAGTCTTCAAGATCTCATTGTTCCTTGTTTTGCCCAGAGAGTTAGGGTGACAAGGAAACATAGCAGAATGCATACTCCCTACCAATTCTTTCAGATGGAACATACACAGTTACGTGTATTACATAGATGTGCACACACACACAAATATATATCGTGTGTGTATATTTATATATATATCTATATCTAGTGTGTGTATGTGTATATGTATATGTACATGCACACTATTGCAAATCAGTGAGCTAGGGACTGAAAGTGTAATTATTGGATGCTTGTCCCAGTTGTAAGCAATTTTTTTTAGCCTTTTCCACTATCACGGATGTTTTTTGCATCATCATTTTACAGTTCCTACAATTTTTACTTCAATTACTACTGCTTCTTTTTGCATTGGTTGAACAACTTGTCAGAATTTTCCATTTTAAAGTTTTGTCACTGAGCTTCACAGTGCCTCAAAGATAATTCCACAGTCTGTCCTGTTAGAAGGAAGTAATCTGCTTCGAAGCTGGTTTTAAAGATGTCTTCTTTCGTCCACAGCCTATCTAGGTCACAGAACTGTGCTTTAATCTATCTTTAGAAGAAGGTTTATCCAGCACAGAGCTTCCTGAAAAAGAAACAAGAGTGTCTTTAACGGTCTAACCACCTTCATGCTCTCCACCCAGCATTTCCAAGAAAGCTGTTATAAATAACATCAACATGTCACAGGTGACAGAGGGAAAATGTGTGTAGTTTTCCAACCTAACCTCTGCCTGGTGGGATAGATGCGTGTACATGAACACCCACATGGACATTCTAAGTACATTCCTAGAGAGCCAAGCAAAAGGTAGCAGTCTTGATTAAGATAAACCAAAATTCATAAACACTACTTTAGATGAACCCCAAATTTGGAGAAACTCCCTGTATGATCAGTAGAACATAAAATTTTGCCAGAACACATTAATCTGTCTTGTCACACTGTACCACTGGAAAGGCTCGGAGCTTTCTTAGGTGTCAATTACTCTGGAGACCTGGGGGGTTGTTCATGTTAATTCTATATTTAGTTTTATAGTGGAGATTTTCCCCACCTGTTTAGAAACAACCCCCCCCTAGATTAAGACTATAAAACTGAATGTAATTTGGAGAGCTGTCAAAGGTCTTTCCTTCCCTAAATCTGCCAGGTAAATATCTCTGGGATTAAAACAAAGAAAATAAATTAATCTCCGTCTTATTACAATACAAAGTGAGAGAAGCCAGGAAACACGGCACAAAACCTGATGGTACACAGTGTCCTTAGATCACTTGGCCATTGTTTTCTCTCATAGTAGCACATGTTAATGATACAAAGAAGTTTAACATTTTTTTGGATTTGGCTTTGGCTTTTAATGTCACAACCATGGTAAATGTGGACATTATTGTTTGTATTGTCATAACCTTTAGATGCACCGCCAATTTCTAGAGCCTGTGCATGCACAGCCAAGGACAGGATTTTGCCCACAAATAGCCTGCCTGAATTAAATTAAGCAGAAATATTGCCATACAGATTGTAGAAAGTAGTGTGTCATGGTACAGCATATTTATGTTGCAAAGATGTTGCATGGTCAGACTTGATTTAAACCACAAATTTCACTGCAGGAGAATCAAAGCTTATTTGTTCTACACTAAACAATTTAATGCTGCTTTAAAAGGCTTTTGTATAATAGGGGCCTAGGACATCCTTAGTTGTATTTAATTAATAAAACTCAACAATCTCCAGAACAACAAAATAGACAATAAAATGTTAAACCTAAAAGAACAGGAAGAAATAGAGAGATTTGACTTTCTGTCTATTTTAAGGAATTCGGGCAACACAGAAAAAAAATCAAATATGATGAAGAATGAAGAAACAAGTTTTAATGTGGACAGTACTCGAGCCTCTCCCTTTTCCTGCTGCCTGCAGCCACTGAGCCCTGTTACAAAGCCACACAGAACAACTACATTTGGTGAGGAATTCAGACCACACCTCTCACATTTCCACTATGGCCCTCCTCCTCTTGGAGACATGGAAACATTCCAGGGGTCCTTGGAAGGAGGGTCTCGGAAACGCAAGAGCATGCCAACAAAAATGCCTCCTTCTATCACCCTTGAGGGTTCCTCATCACCACCAGACAGACCTGACGATCACAATGACATAGGCTCTTCCAGCCTCCCCTTGGTGTTCCAACAGCCTGAACAGCCCGAGTACAGATCCCAGATGATTGATCTGTGCAAATTTGGTTTTCGGTTCTACAGAACTCTGGAGCACTTTGGAGCCAAGCCCATTAAGCAAGAACCAGTGAAGCCTAACATGACATGGCCCAGTAGCCCAGCATTCATGCAGGCTCCTTACTCTTATTATCCTAAAGTCCACCCCAGCTTAATGTTTCCTTTTATTGTGCCACCAAACTTTCATTTCAGGAACCTCTTTCAAATGAAAAGACCTCCAAAGCCACCCTTCAGGAGGGCTGAAGTAAGAGAAAGTGGTGAAAACAAACAGAAAGTGGAAAGAGTAGATGTCAACCTTCAGATAGACGACAGTTACTATGTTGATGTTGGGGGTGAACAGAAACGCTGGCAATGTCCCATGTGTGAGAAGTCCTATACATCCAAGTACAATTTGGTCACCCATATCTTGGGGCACAGTGGCATTAAGCCACATGCTTGCACCCGATGTGGCAAGCTTTTCAAGCAGCTGAGCCACTTGCACACACACATGTTGACACATCAGGGCACTCGACCACATAAGTGCCAGGTGTGCCACAAGGCTTTCACTCAAACCAGTCACCTTAAGAGGCACATGATGCAACACAGTGATATCAAACCGTACAACTGCAGGATCTGTGGTAGAGGTTTTGCCTACCCCAGTGAGTTGAAAGCACATGAGTCTAAGCATGAGAGTGGCCGAGAGAACATCTGTGTGGAGTGTGGTCTGGACTTCCCAACCCTGGCCCAGCTGAAGAGACACTTAACAACCCACCGCGGCCCTATACAGTACAATTGCACTGAATGTGATAAGACCTTCCAGTACCCAAGTCAGCTGCAAAACCACATGATGAAGCACAAAGACATCCGCCCATATATCTGCACTGAATGTGGCATGGAGTTTGTGCAACCCCACCATCTCAAACAACACTCCCTAACTCACAAGGTAAGTCAGCACAGACTGCGCTCTCACCTTACATTGGAAGACGGCACAAGGCTACTAAAGGTACACATATGTACCTTCTCGGAAAGAGGGGAATTGGTTTATAGAGCTTCATGCTGGCCCTTTGCCAGCTGGAGAGTTTTATGCAGAACAAAAGTCCCAGCAGTGCTGGTGATAGTAGAAGCTAGATGACTCTGTTAGTCTGAGGAAAGTACATCCAAACTCCACTTTGTTATAAACAGGAGTTCAATTAAACCACCTGTATTACTTCCCAAAACTGTATTTACATCTCTCTGTTCCTGGGTTTTATCTTCAGAATGATCCTCTGTAGCATAACATAGTTTTGTAGAGGTCTGTAACACCTCAGAAATTTTAACAGAAATTTTCTACTGAAAATCAGTTCTATCGTTTTGCTCCCTTAATTGGGAAGTAGGTGGATTTGCAGTGGACGATATGTAAGCAGCAAAACAAAGTATATTGTTACTCATCAGATTCTGAAAAATCATTATGAGACACTTAGGTGACAGAAAAAAAACAAACCCAAATCTAAAAAAATTTCCCCCTTATGCATAAGTTTTCCAGAATGTCAGTTAATAAAAGTGGACAAGCAGGACCATAGTCCCAGCCAATTTGTATAAAGTGGTAGAATTGCCACTGCTGACAGCACTGACAGCAGAGTCAATTTAGGCTAGGAGTGGGCTTTGGAACACATCCAGAAAGGTTGCTTTCAAAAATAGGATAAACGGAACTGTTCTATTCAAGAATGTCTGAAATTGGCTTACTTGCCTTTACAAAAATGTTGTTAAGACAAGTCAAAATCCCATTCATTTTATAAAAAATTGCTGCCAGTTTTGTATATTTTTCCTTTAAGACTTGAATTTTGGCTTTTATATGAGAACATTAAAAATGCTGAAAGTTACAGCATTTTGGTCTTGTAGACACATTTTCTTTTAAGAACCAACAACCTCTACTTCTATATTTGCTTTGTCTTCCCTACTATACAATTATAATTTCTGCTCTTTCTGCACGTTCCCTGATCTTTGGATTTACCATGCAAAATTCTACTAATTTAAGACTTGGTAGTTTTTGTCACTGGAAATGCAATGCCCCTGAGCCTTTAGAGAGCTTTGGCTTCTTTGTCCACAGCTGCAGGTGGATTCGGCTGTGAACATAATTAACAGTACTTAGCTGCCCAAATGCAGGCTCACATCAGATAGGTAGACAGTAAAAGACTTGCTGGTGTTTACAGTTTTAGCTTTGCATTTAACTGTGAAAACCATCAACCGGTACAAAAGTAGAGATAATTTCAAGTAGTCTTTGTAATGGAGGCCTGCAGGAGGAGTAATTGGTCTCAGCACTTCGCTTGTAAATCCTTATTACCTTCAGCAAGTCATACTCAAACTCTTAAAGTGTTTAGTGGTAAAGTCATTGATTTTTCATAGCATCTAAACTACTTTTAGAAGAGCTGGCAGTTAGACCACATGGGTGTGAGCAAGAATATTGAATTATGTATCATTGACTGGATGGCATAAAAGGTTCTAGAAATGCTCTATAAACACCAGATAAAACAAGATCACTCCATCAGGGTTAGTGTAAGTCCCACTAACTTTGAACAATTTTTTCTCTTTACTGAATATAACATGTATATCCTTATTTGGCAACGTTGCTAGAATACTTCTCAATTACTTCAGGTTATTTTCTATAGATTTCTTCAACACAGGGCTATGCCTTTTTTAGAAGCCAATGACATTCAATTATCAAATGAAAGCGCTACTCTAGTCTCTTAACTGGGTAGCTTTCATTCTTGGTCAGGAAGTATACAAATTTGACCAATACTTCACATAAGCAGTAGAGTAGGACAAAGAAGTGTTGCTACTGACTATTGTCTCATTGATTTGTAATATTACTGATGGAAACAAAACTCATTATTTTACTAAGCTTACATTCTGTTTTCCTTTTCTGCTTCTCAGATTCTTGTGAGAATTTGTCAGGAAAAAATACATAAGTATCTATTACTTGAGCAAATGATGTTAAAAGTGAAATAATTTATTACCTGCTTTGCTAATGCAGAATGAATAATTGACATACTGCTGTACTGAAGATTAATTGATCTAGAAAATTTTCCATCTACAGATTTTGCAGTTTTTTTTTTTTCTTACAGGGTGTGAAAGAGCACAAATGTGGAATTTGTGGTCGGGAATTTACTCTGCTGGCCAACATGAAGCGGCATGTCCTGATCCACACCAATATCAGAGCCTATCAGTGCCATTTGTGCTTCAAGAGCTTTGTGCAAAAGCAGACTCTCAAGGCCCATATGATTGTTCATTCTGATGTCAAACCCTTTAAATGCAAGGTAAGTGCATTTGGTAACAGAGGTATTAACTCACTGGATACTTCTGTGATACTATCTTGCTCTGTGGCAAAATCAGAAAAAAAAAAGACTTGCTAACTCATACTGCAGTTGCATTTAAATTAGCATAAACCAGTCTGATGTTCTTTCTTAAACCAGATTCTGCTTAACAGCACAAAATAATGGAGATAAATCTCTTCCTTCCTCTTCAAAATCAGTGACTTTCATCCTCAAAGACTTTTTCTGCTTTGTGAGCATTTAATCGCCACAGCTGTTTGAGGACAATAAACATACCTAACATTTGCTTACTATAGCCATCCAAACAGAAGTCTATGCTCTTAAAAGCTTGAAACACTGACTAAAAACATAGATCAAGTCATGCACTCTGCAGAGGACCATGGAAAAACAGCAACCATGACTTTCCACAGTGATGCTATGCAAAGGTTCATGGAAGGACTCAAAGAATGACACAGCAAAATCCAACAGCAGAAGGGATTTAAACTAGCCAAGAGTAATTACCAGACTGAAATTTGGGACAGGACATCAGTATCATAACAAAACAACCTCTGAAGCCATCTGGTCTTTTTAGGATCTGGTGTGAATTCCAGTCCACTGCACATTGGAGGCTGACATTCTCCCTATGAAACTTTGAGGCTTTGGCTTTCTTGACCATGCTTATCTCTAATATCTTCCTTATGAATTATTTGTGTTTATACTACTAGTATTGGACACTATATCTGTTTCTTTTGCTGTCTATCTGGTTCATTACTGTAATCCTACCAAGTCAAAGGTTGTAGGTTTTATTCTGACTTCGATCTGCTCTAAGAAGGCTGTAAATACTGAGTGGAGCATATAACCCAGTTTATGCATAAGTAGCTGAAGATGGATCTGGAAGCAATTTCTAGAACTCTTTCATCTAACATCTTTAAGGAACTAAACATTTTCTTTAAAAGAATGTTTCATCAAGAAGCAGAGCTAGATGAAAAATTTTAGATGGAGTTATTTTCCCTTGAAAAAGTATAACTTCAAAATGTCATAGGAAAATATGGCATTCAGTGATAGTTTTAACAGGAAAATGTCAAAAGTAATCTTTTTTACTTCCTCCTTTTGCTTTGATAACTTTCAAGTATTTCACTTTGAAAAAATAACAGAAAAGTCTTTCAACTTTAGCATTTTGTTTAATTTTAATTTATGTCCTATTAAAATGTTATTTTGTATACTAGGACTTAACGTTATTCTCTACTGATAAAATAATTTCTGTTACTAAGATGCTTGGATAGATTCATGTCAAGTCTGCTGGAGACTTTCATTCTCTGAGAACACCTGCAAAACTGTCTTTCTGTTCCCATTTGATCAAAGTCTTCCTCTGACTCCTCAAATTACAGAAAAGAAACTGTTGTTTGATCACCTGTTCTGGATGCAGTGTCTGGACTCATACTATCTTTTAGGTATGTGCAGATTAGCTGAAAGTTTATATTTGGGTTAGGGTCTGATGATGATGACAAATTCTTAAAACTTGGAGGTGACAATAGTTTGAATCAGGATCTGGAGTACCACCACTATGTTTTCCAGCCAGTACCAAAAGCTCTACAGGACCACCTGCTTTTAGTTTTTTCTTTTCCTTTTTTTTTTTTTCTTTTACTTCTCTGTCTCCACCCAATGTTCCTAGGAGGAAAGAAACAAGTAAGCACAGTGAACTGCGTCTGAAGGGATATGAATCAACATCAGTGCTCTTGAACAGACTGGGGATTGTAACAGTAAGCAAAGGGAGAATCAGGAATTGCTCTTAGGCATTAGGAACATCCTTGAAAGACTCAAGCAAGTACTTCTAGCTGATATTCAAAGGGTTAAGGCAATGACCAGATAGCAGTCTTTTGGCACCAGGCTCCTCCTCAGCAGAAGGAAGGATATAGCTGTATGAACAGGCTGCTTAACAATGGCTCACATGTCCCCAGGGAACCGCCTGCAAATAGATTTCATCTTGCTTTCTCTTGTACTTTTCAAAGCTTCCTGTTTTCTCACGGTCCTTTTGGACAGTGTTCAGTCTTTCTCCCTCTCCCTCTCTCTTTGAGGAAAGGAACACCCTTCTTATGAAGAAGAAAAAAAAAAGAAGAAGAAGAATGCAAGGGAAAGAGAGCACAGCAGTAGCCTTTCTACTTCACCACATGCAATGGTTTTCTTTACCTTATTCTCACAGCAAAAGAAAACAAGAGTCTTTCCTATGTATCTAATCACAGTTAAGCACACACTATCTGAAGTGAGGGAGTAGCAAATAGCTGGCCCTTCTGTTTCCTTATCCATCTGCAGCCTGAGTATGTGTTTGATTTTTTTCTGAAGAGTGAACTTCTCTGTAGTTTTAAAGGCTTGAGACCATGCTGCCTTGTTTATTTGTTTAAAAAAAAACCAACTTAAACCATTGAAGAGTTCTGAAGGAGTTGCACCAACTTGTGCAATAGTGCTAATTCTGATTTGTAGAAGAAGTCTCTATGAAATTTACAGTCAACGTTTCAGACCTCCAATCAAGAATGCAATGAAGTTTTCTCTGGCCTGATGAAACACACTTTGTAGCAGATGATTTGAACAGGTGCTCTGTGGTGATTTCTGCTGGAGCTCCCTCCTGTGCAGCTGGCTCAAGGTCAACTTTTACACTCTGCTCATCAGCACTCACACCCCGGCCCTGTCAGAGAGAAAGAAAATCTTGCACACCTTCCTAGTTTGGTCTGCAGACTCAGGTTGTTCTTTAAGCGCTACCGGTGAACCCCAGCTACCTCCAAGTCGCTGTCTTTCAGCATGTGAACCCAAAACCTGCTCTCTTCACCCTTTGGATCATGAACATTCATCTGAAAGTCTTCTTGCACTTTTTGAAAGGCATAGGTTACACAGAGACCTTACCACACAGAGTCATCATTCCAAAAAACAGTTGTCATATCTGCATTTCTTTCATTTTCCTGCCACACCTTTCTACTCTAGCACCATTTCCTCATGTCCCCAGAGGAGATTTTGGGACAGGAACACATTACACACAACTAAGACTGTGCATGACTTTGAGAAATGGAAAACTTACCCCTTTTATTCAGAGCCATATAACTTCTGTGGGGTAAGGAACGACACTTTACAAAGTCTCCTGTCTTTTCATTATGAAGAAAGAGAAAGAAATGTTGCCTTGGCAGAAAAAAAAAGTGTTCCCACTAGATCTATCTTAATACTCAATGCCTTATAAAGATACAGATTTGCATGAAGTACTGAAGACATTCATCTGTTCAACCTGATTTTCCTTGATTGTCAGTTTAGACAGAGAAGTAAAGACCTAGCTATCAGAAAGCAAAAGCTGGTGAGAACACAGGTCAGCTACATTGCAGGCAGATACCCAGAAGCCTTCTGGTTAAAAAAGAGGTTAACACTTCTGGTTAAAACCAGAGGTGTTAGAGAGTTATTATCATTAGCATTCTTGTAGCCAGAGAAGTGCTGACATGTCATAGGTCACTCCATCAGCTAAGATACAATCAGCTGCTGTTCTTCCATGCAAATTTTCCGTGCTTATCAGTGCTTCTCCTCTTTGTTTCCTGTCAGCACTTTCAGAGCATTTTTTTGTGCATTAATTTCCCTGAACATATAGTCAACTGGCCTATTGGCTTTCTTTGAATGCAAAGAAGAGACAGTCCTCTTTCCTAAGTGGGTAGGCGACCCTAGGAATCAGATATCTTACTTTCACGCATTAATAACTCATTTTCAGTGGCTGTTCCCCCCCCACCCCAATCTGGTTGAACACTTTGTTGATAAATTAATTTGTTAGAATGTTAATTTTAGCAAAATCACAGAAAGGAAATAATGAAGACAACTCATGCATCTGAAGTAAATATTTTTTACAAGCAAGTGAATATTTCCAGACTCTTTCTTTTTGCAGCATTGACTCAGATATAGTTCTTATATTAAAAACAATCAAAAACAACTGCAAATTTTTATATTAATGAACTGTTTCCATTTTCCTTCATGGGATTATTTAAAATGTGAAAGATAGAGTACTGTTTCACTAAGGATCATGTCACTATTTACATTTCATCCAGGTATTCCAGGTGATGTGAATTTCAATCAAAAAGTACAGTAGCAGACCTTCTGTACTACCAAAAGGAATTAAATCAGAAGTCAGATTAGATAAAAAATTCAGTAAAATCTCAATAACTGCTTTTTAATAATTTACTCTCAGATGGGCACACTGCTTGATGTAAGTTTCAGTTACTCAGTAATGCTGATTCTAGCTCACATAGTAACAAAGATTGAAAAAAAATAAAATTCTGATAGTAAAATCATTTGCCTAAAACCATTTCAAAAAAAGAGCTGAAGTAGAAATCTGCAGAGGATGGAAATAGCCATTTGAATGTGAATAATATTATAAATCTTGACAAGGAAAAACCAGAAGACAAGTAAGACTAGAAGCTTGTATTAGTGATATAAAACTCTTTTGCCTTGAGAATACTTTTGATTTTTAAGGGACTAGACTACAAAAGGATCCATCTAGATAAACAACAACAGTGAAAAAAACCCCCCCTTATTGTTACATCAAAGGGAATCTTGCATGATCAACGACTTGAGCTGACAGGAACATGCTTCAGAGCAAGCTGAGTCATTCTTACAAACCCATGACTGTTTGAATTCCAGCTTACTCACCAGAGACACCAAAACACAGAAGTTGGTAAACAGAAGATAAGAGGATCAGAGAAAAAAGAGGTAGCAAGAAACAAAGAAAAAAAGGAATTGCTTTTTCTAAGTTTCAGTAAAACGTGCAGCCATTTCATTTCCACTTAAGGAAAAGTAATATTCTGCTTGACAGTTTTGCAGAAATCCTTCATAGATTTTATTTTGTATCTCCATCTCTGCTTTGCACTGTTTTTGATTAAAGGCTAAATTTATGAACTACAAATGAAATGGTTCACCAGGGCAAAAAGCTATACTTTATAACCTTCCAGATTACGTACTTAATCATCTTCCCTCCTTACAACAAAATTCCTTGGTTTTAGGGAATCTTTGGTTGTGTGTACTAGTCACCAAATTTAAAAGGTGACAGCAGTGCAGAAGGACCTAGGTATATCAGCTCAACCACAACCTTGTCTGTAGGACTTTTGCCTGTATCTTTGAAAAACAAGTTGCAGCCAGAAGCTGCCAGGGCTCAAGTTGAGAAGAGTAGGTTCTATTTCCTTTTAAAATGTTCCCCTTGGAAGTACCCCTTTGAACTAACCATTTCCATTTTCACTGTTTTTTACAGCTGTGTGGAAAGGAATTTAACAGAATGCACAATTTAATGGGACACATGCACTTGCATTCAGACAGTAAGCCTTTCAAGTGTCTCTACTGTCCCAGCAAATTCACCTTGAAGGGCAACCTAACCCGGCACATGAAAGTCAAACACGGGGTCATGGAAAGAGGATTTCATTCTCAAGGTAATATATTTTCAGTAAGGTTATTCTCTGAGAGTTTTCAAGGTGCATATCAGTAAAATCAAATGGGCTTTGTACCACAGATCCACAATCTCATACCATGAATTCAATGCTATTGGAAGAGATTGAATTCCATAAGCCTGGGACATTGTTATCTATATTACTCCAGTGCTAGAGATCAGAGATGCCCAAGGCAGAGAAGCCTTGTCTCAGAGACCTTTCAGACTAGATATCTAATGACACAAAGGTATTAGACTCAGATGGAGAAGTAGATGGAGACAAAATCAGACAGTATTTATGAGCACAAAGGTAATAATTATGCTGCACCAAAATGCTGTCGTCAGGCATTAGGGAGAATGTGGTCAGTAGTGTGAGAGCAGAGGGGATTTATTAGGCCATATCAAACATTCTTGTACTTAAGCTCAGGGCTACCCATCCCTCACTGTGAGAAGGTGCAATATCCAGAGCACCACAGAGCATTTCCCAGCATTTGGGTACACCAAGACACAAATGGAAGCAAGCTGGTAGAGAATCAGCCTTAGTGAGGCTGTGGCACATGTAGTTGGCCTGGGGAATGATTTCATGACATGATCTTTGTGATCGAAAGAGTAGTTCCATTATTTTTTAATAAGTGTTACATTTTCAAGGGGCTTGATTCCCAGTGGCTAACAGACCACAGCCTAGTAGCCATGGACAAGCAGTCATTTTTCCCAGACACATTTGATTAGGAGTTTATATATTTTCTCTCGTGTTTGAGGTACATAATAAATTATGAATTCATTCAAAGCTGACAGAAGCAAAAAATCTAGAAGATTTCCTCAATCTTGCTCACTGCTTATTGGATTCCAGTCTGGAGTGTGAAGAGAAGCCTGAATGGCTCTACATCCAGGAGCTTTTCTGCTCAAGATACAGTTATTCTCTACCATATTGACATAGCTGACATTAGGCAAAAGCCATAGGCTCAAGACCCAGTTTACAAACAAGCATGTGGACAGGAGGAGACACTCCTCCCCATCTCAAAGTATATGGATTTTTGACTACCCAGGGTATCCTGCAAAGCATTCTATCTCCCACATACCTCAGAGACTTCCTGAAGTCAGCTTCATGTGTGCACACATGCCAGTGCTACCTGAAGAAGTCGTGTAAATAGGGAGGACTGTTTTGAGATTTTGAGTATCCAAGATACTTTGTCTGTTAAAACTTTCTGCATAAATAGTTCTTTCATAGGTAATATTTCTCGGTGTTTCTCAAATTCTGGCTTCAGGTCAGCTTAGCACAGGTATAAAGCGCATACTCTAATGACATTTGGCGTAAAATTTACAAAGATCCCAATAGGTAATTAAATAAATGGCTCTTTTTCCCCCTGTAAATCTCCTACAGCACCATGCTAGTTATACAATCACTTGTAATTGAAGACAGCCTAAGAGCTTTTCAGTGTACAGAGATTCTTCAGCCCTAGAGGCTTACCAGACACAAGTCAATTTGTAAGGGCTGTCACCTGCTCATGAACCATTTTAACAAATACAACCTCTTGCAAAGTAGCAGCTGTATCTATTAAGGCTACATAGATCCTACAGAAAGTGGATTCAAATGCTGAGGGGAAAAAAATAAAATCAAACCAAACCTAAAAAAACCAGGTAAGACAGTGGCTTTTGTAGGTATTTGCTATAGGGTGAAGTCTTCACCCTAGTACTGTCACCATTCTTTCAATTAAGAAGGACTATGCCTGCAGTGTCTGAATCTTCTTAAGTGCATCCTGATGATCAGAGGACATCTGAGTTCACAGAGGCCTCCTGGGTAATGTCTGGATTTCCAGCAAGAGAGGAGACACTTTGGTCAATACTAAGACAAAACAGATCCAGGACTACAGTCAAAGTTATATTGCACTGTTCAGAATAATCTTTTGTTTATAATGGCCTCCTCAAGCTGAAGCACTATCTACTGCATAGAGCTTTCAGTTGCATGAGTGGCTTCTCAGCAGATGAAAGAGGAAAAATTAAGGAGAATGGAGACTGCAGACTGCTGAGACTTGATTGGCTTTTGATTTTTAAAATAGTAACTTTGAAACAGAGTGTCCATAGAACAAACACATTAACATGTTTTTAATCTCTTCCACTCCTTTGGAAAAAATTGTACAAACACTTGGACTTTGATTATGGTCTGTGATGCTTTAGATCAAAGTTTTCATTTAAAAAAAATAGGAAAGAGGAAGTGGGTAGGTTCACTAGCAAAAATAGTTTACAAGAGGCTAGGACACTTCACTTTTATTCCTAGCTCCCTCATCAAGTGTCTGGCATGTATAGCACAGTGTTTCATGTGTCCTGACCTGGCTATGAAGAGTATACAATTGTACTTCTTTTAACAGCAACTCAAAGGAGATGCCTTGAGATGTAAACAGTAAAGTACTTGGAGATAGCTAGGTGGAAGACAAAGGTGAAATATGAAATAGAAGGCCACCTCATGTATTGTTTTTTAACCATGTATCATGTAGTAAATATTCTGTATATAAATTATTCCTTTTCTCCTCCCCTCAAATCACTACAAGGTTTTGGAAGAGGAAGAATTGCTCTGTCTCAGACAAATGTCACGAGAAGCTTGGAACAGGAAGAACCCTTTGATCTTTCCCAGAAAAGCCAAGGGAAGGGAATCTCATTTCATTCGGATGGCGAGAGTGCCAAGGGAAGCTCATGCCAGGAAGAAGAGGAAGACAACTGCTATGAGGCAGAGCGGTACAGCCCTACCATGTACCACGATGACAAGCAGCTCTATGGGGCTCAAGATCTGTCTGGCAAACCTGAGTTCATGATGAAGAACTTCAGAGAGTCCCACTGCAAAGAGAAGGAAGAAGGGCTAAGTGAGGGACGACTGGAGAAGATAACAGGAAATTCAAACAAAAAAGAGAGCCAAGGAGAGAGAGGTCTCGAGAACAGCAAAGAACATCTCAGCTTTAGATCCTTTGAAAAAGCCAGGCTTGGCCAGTCTTTCCCTGATTACTTGTATTTCAAGCACAGGAACAAAAGTTTGAAAGAATTGCTGGAAAGAAAAGTGGAAAAAAACCCAATGCTTATAGGCATTTAAAAAGGACTTTTTAAAACAGGTGGAAAATGGGGATCAGATAGCTTTTAACATAAACTGTAATTTACCAAAGCCTTTAAGTTTGTAGTAATCTTTAGAAATAAACAATCTAAATTAATAAAAATAATTTAAGGAAAAACATATACATTAAAAGAATAAAGCAGTCTGAATTCACCGTGAAATGCAATAGATACTGAACAATAACATTTTTATACTCATCCATTTGATGTATAAGCAGACAATAGAGTAGGTACAGAAGTTTATGTTCCTTTATCTGGGGTAGTAGAGAGTTATATGCAATTTTCTAGTTATAAAAAGCAACATACTTTACCATTTGATTAATTTTTTGACTAAACATATATAAATACTTCTAACAATATGTTTAAAAAAAAATCTGAAGATACTAAGTATTTCACAGTAGCAAGAGTGCTATTAAACACAGTGTGCATGAAAGCGCTGTCACTCTCGGAACTAACACAGTCCAAATACTTTCATTTACTGAAGTGACTGTTAGTTCAACCACTTACAGTGAGAAATGGGAAATAAATTAAGAAGAAGGGCTAATATCTTGTGAGTTAGTGAAGGGCAGCTCTATAATGCTTTGAAAGGACTGGAGTTTATTACAGTCACAGAAGCTTTTCCTCTGGCATGAGGAATGATTGTGCTTTGCTATGTTTCAGTCAGTATGGGAATATTCAGCAATTCTTCATGTGAAATAGGATGGACTGTAGCGACATTTTGTTCTACTGTCTGCTTATCTAATGAGCAACAGCAGCGTGTGGCATTCACAAGTCTTGCTGTAATTACACATAAAGCAATACGAGTAACATCACTGAGAAAATGATGCATTTTTACCTTTTATCTTTTCAGTTTATCTTTGCTAGCAAGGATGATTTTGAAATACAAGGGAATGACTAGATTTCATTTTAGGAGGTATGCCAAAAAGAGCTCTTACAGGGCAAACAGTACCTCACAGAGGAAAACTAGTTTTGGATTTCCTTTTATCACAGTCAGAAATTTTCCCTTATTAACATGGCTTGACCAGTAAGCTCCATGCCTTTCAAAGAAATGCCACTCATGCTGTTTTTACTGAGTCATTCCCAACTTTTCATCCTGTGTTTCCCATATAATTATATGTTGATAGTAAAGATGTGAAAAGCACATTCCATTAATTGCATTAATAGTTTGACCAGCACTTTGATTTCTGCATCTTCATGATAGATGACAAACAGCCCCACACCATCCTATTCCTTACGGGGAAATAAAGATTTAATAAGCCATTTAATTTGTCCCATGTCATTCTGACATCCTAGCCCAAAAGGTTAAAACCCATATATATGGTACATCTTTTCTAAACATTGCTACCTTCTTCACGTACCTGTGAAGTTCTTGATTTGAAATACCTTGCTATCATGCTCAATATATAGCCAGTTAGAATTAAATATAGTCATATATTTATAGCTTGCTAAGGCTAGAGTTACACAGCTGCAGCTCTCTGCCATTATAAGAAACCATTCACCTTATAGAACTAATGATTCTCACACCTACAAGTTAATCAGTGTTCACAGGGCAGCACCCCTTTTGTATCATATATAATTGGATTTGTGTAGTCCAGGGTTGCAGAAGGTGGTTTCATTTTTCAGGGCTCAAGCACAGCACAATAGAGATGCTGAATGAAGAGCAGAAAAAGGTGTAACATATGGGTGACTATTCTAAATGTAATTAACTCTACAGCTGATGTACATACCTTTTTAAAATAAAAGGTTATACCATAATGAAGTAGAATGCAAGTCACTTTGGGTCTAGAATTAATGATATCTTTCAAAATGAGGTGTATTTTGGAGGTACATAGCCATGTTTTTTCAGTGATAAATTGCTTTATCATATACATTCAACTTCCTTGCGCCACTGCAAGGTAACTGCTTTTGAAAAAGCAGCCATCTTTCTTTCAAGGAAGACATTGTGGTCAAGCAGAAGAAATAGAAAATTTTCAAAGTAACGTATGAAACTGCATACTTTCTTAAACTAGATGGGAAATAAACAGATAGAAATTCAACACATTCTAGGAGATGTCTATGCGCTAGAGAGCATTACAGGACAGGTAGACAGTCCTTACCAAGAAAGAGAAAATGATTACGTATCAACAGGCCTGCAGGCAAATGGAGCAAAGGAGACATTTTCAGAAAAGCTCAGCTCCCAGTAAATAACATCATAACCACAAAAATGATGTCTACTGGAAGAATGAAGTCCAGAGTTCCCTTACAGACCTTGTAATGGAAAGTGCCAGGAAAGGAAATGACTGTGAATAGTTCTGGGCTGTCTAAATGGTTAGCCCAAGCACTTTCAACCTCACCATCACTGCAGCCAGTTTATCCGCTGCTACAATGTCTTTTCTCATTAGAGCAAAAGCAACAGTCAACCACATACAGCCAGGTGAAAAGAAGTAGAGATATCCAGAATGACAATGTTGTTTGGGAATAATTCATAATGTGCCTCCCTTTTCTTGCATTATTCCTAGAAAGTGGAGAATATTTCATTACAATGAGGCTTTGAGACTGTGCCCAGACACACAGTCACACTGAGCTAATTCACAAACACCCAAGACCAATTCAGGTTAGAATAGCAAAGAACACATCTAGCACCGTAAGTCACCAGTCAAAGGAATTGCAAACAAAATTATTACTGAGATAAGGAGACAGTGTCAAGTGACCCAAGCAAAGAGATTAGGAGATGATAGTCCTCCCTACTGCAGAATATAATGCAGCTGGGTCTAAGACACTTATAAAGAGACACCAAGGGACAAATTACAAGTGAAAGAAGAGCCTTCATTGTGAAGCACCTTGGTTTTCAAGCATGTTACTTTCCTATTTTATTTACACTGACACCATTTTGAGAACAGACAGTAACAGTCTTAGCTTTTAATAGCTTTGAAAATGCTTCATAGAAATTTACTCTCATTATGAAGTTATTTCCCATTTCTACTTATCAAGGAACTAGCTTCCTTCATTTGCTTTGAATAGAGACTCAGACCTTGCCTATGTCCTGATCCTTGGGGGATAAATTTTCTTTCTTTCTTTCTTCTTCCTTACTACTCTGAGTCTATCTATCTTCTTCTTGCTGTGTTGTGGAAAAAATGTATTTATCTGTCTCTTCAGTATGCTTCAAGAAGTTATGCTGAGGAAAGGTAAATTGGCCACACCATAATGAGTGAAGTGCAAGTGAAGGCATGCAGTTCGTTAAATTGGAGGCTTTTCTGCTGTTAAGGACAGCAGGAAAAATTCTACAAGACACTGTACAGAACAGTGTAAGTGGATGATAAGTCAAAAGTTGGGTTAGTAAAATTTGACGATAAAGAAATGCAATGTATTTACTAGGAAAGTGAAGATGTAGGTAACTCCAGAACAAGCTGGTTTGAGTCTGGCCACCAGGATGCAGCCATCTCTTTCTGAACCAGAGTTCTCCCAGTTGCTGGGCAGCCTCCAGTCTGTGAAGGCTAAGATAGGTGCTCTGTGTTCAGCAGCTCACAGGATAAATCACTTTATGATAATGTTATAGAAGTTTATCCTGTGCTGTGTACTATAAAATAAGTTACTGGAAAGACCAAGTAATGCTACTGCGTGACTTCTTTAGAAATCCGTGTTGGTCTACTACCTGTTCTCCAATTTCTTTCTTCATATGGTGCTGCTGGACTCTGCTGTTATGAGTGTACGGTTAAGAAGTAATATAAGTTCTATATTTATTATTACAAGAATTTTTAAATAATTATTAACAGTTTTGAGACTAAGTCATGTCTGCTTAGCTGAACAAGATGTAACAGAGCTAACATTTTGTACTCCTAACAGATTTTACAAATAATGTGGTGGTTATTTCTTTCACATAGAACAGTGGGTTCCTATTCAAGGCTCCAACTCAAAAAATGGACCCACTTTCTTGTGAATGTTTAGCTTCTGGCTTTCTATCTCAATAGTAAAAGTATGTATTATGTATTGTATTAATTTAAGCAAATAAATATATACTGGCAAAGCTGCTGCACTTTGTATTGAAATGGATCTGGAGTTCTTGACATTCTAGCTATTCTATACAGTAAATGGATGGGGCTGGTCTGGAAAGATCATACTTCACTTAGCACCACTGAAGAGTACTTCTTGTAAAGGGAAACCTAAATAAATGGTGGAGGACTAGTTAGAAGACAAGGGCAGAAGAACCGCCAGGTTCTCTGAGATAGAGAAATCACTTTACTGTTACAGACTGCAGGGAGGACATAAAGAATGCTCTGGGATGGTTATGGTATTTGTTAACTTGGCCTCAGACAAGCTAAAAAGAAAGATGCAATCCTTAACTTAAAGATGTTTCAAAGATCTGCATCACATAAAAAGACAGCAAAACCAATCAGACACGTTATAAGATTGAAGTTAAGAAAGTATGAATATCTTTATAATTTAAGGAATAAGCAGAAGACACTGAACTCAGAGGCTCGGGATTTCTTTTTTCTAATGGAAGGCATCGCTTTAAGTGAAGAGTAAACTCTGGGATTTGTTTCTTTTAATGCGATCCTGATGGAACTGGGTTCATCATACTTCACAGAGAACATTTTAAGCTGTTTTTGAGCACAGTGATAAAGCAACTGGAATGTTGACTATAAAATAAGTAATAAATGGAGATATTCGGTTTCTAATTCTCAGAGGTACACAACTTCAAAAGTTCAAGAAGGCTTATACAAACACTAGAAATACATGTAAGAAGCTAAATGAAACAGAACTTTTTTGATTTTTTTTTCTTATTTTCCGTTTTTTTCCCCTTCTGTTTTGATTGCTGGTAACAACTGCTGTGAAGATTTTAAGCCACCTCTGCATGAGGAGAATTATATGGTGGAGAGTGACCTAGTTCATTCCCATATGACATTCTCACCAGTGAATGTTAAAATTTCCCCTTTGCAAGTCACAAAAATTATAATTTATAAAAACATGTGTTTGGTCCTCTTCACAATTTCATTTTCATTTTTGTTGAAAACTGAGCTATGCTCATTTATGTCTTCAAACAAGCAGAAAT